ACTGGAGATTGAGAGCATGGTTTTTATTTGGTTGGTGCAATTTTTTTATGTGGATTAGTGAAGGCATGAAGTCGATGTCATTTATGCTTACATAGTCAGGTTTGTCGTCGACTAATATTTGTGACAGAGGCCTTTTGGTACTGGAAAAGTTTGGTAGGTAATTTATCAATTCTTTATTTGTTTATCGCTGTTTGTCTTGGTAATAATGGATATCTTCTTTGCCGACAATTTGGAGGATTGCGTTCATGGGTGAACAGTTGAATTTTTATTTGAATTTATCAAATCGGTTAGTGTGTTTGGATTCTGATTTTCCAGGCAATCTTTCCCTAGGTGACCTTGGTCAGTGGAAGTGAAAATTCACAAAATAATTCACATTTTTTAAATAAGTATAAAAACTGTTAAAGATCTTAAGCGTATTTCATGCATCAAATTTTTCACAAGTTAATTTAAACTTGATCTTAATTAAAATTTAAATTATGAGAATATACGTACATTGAGGAGTATTTTCCACTATAAAGAATTCCTATAAATGTGCATATTTGATTTGTAAAACACTAATAACAAATTGTAATATAGAACAAACACCAAAGATTGACTGTGCAAAAAAAATATATAAATATTTCGTTTTTTATTTGTTTTATAATTTAATAATCTTTGATATTGTCATATAAATATCTGAATTTTTTTTATTTTTGTTCACTTATGCTACACTGTGTATCGTAGCGAGATCGCATGTTCATGTACATTATGTAAGTAAAAATATAAAGCAGTCAAATCATATAGCGCAGCATTGCTTATGTAAAATTGCAAAGACAAAAACTGAATTGAAGTTTAAAGCATAATCACAAACGAAATTTGGAAATTACCAAGAAATATTTTAAAAATATAATTCGTTGATTAAAATAATTAGGTAATTTTTTTGTGTACGAACATCAAATTAAAAGGAACAAACAATTGGCTTTCGTCTTGAAATAAATAACATATTTTTGAAATATAAAAATAGTAAATGAATTTTTCAGATGAATAGATAAAAGTATTTTATTACTATCGATTAATATATTAATATTTGATTGAAATACTAATCTAAAAAAATTCACGAATTTTTTTTTAATTAAGAAAATTTATTTTTGTTAACTGTTATTCAATTAATAATTCTGATAATAATGATATATTCAAGTAATGATTGAGCTTCGTATGATTTGTGGTTCAACGCTATCTTAAAAATATGTTTTGTAAATTCTGATTCTACACAAATCAGGGAAAAATATTTTAATTAATAAAACTAAAATAATAATAAAATTTATAGAAATTAAAATTATTAAAATTTTTTAAAAAATTTTTACACACATATGTATAGTATACTATACTATACATTTATATTATATTTTTTATATTATACTATACTATAGTATAATATACTAATACTACAGTATAATATAGTATGTAAACTATACTATAGTATAATATAGTATGTGTA